ATCTCAGGATAAGGAAGAATTTCTTAAACAACAGTCCAAAAACATATGTAATAAAGGAAAAACCAAAAGTTTTGATTACACAAAAGTAAAAACATCTCCAGGCCCCAGAACATCATAAACAAAGCTGAAAGACAAATATTAGACAGGGAACAGACAGCTCTGGCATATACAAAAGATAAAGAATCAGTATGAAAGATATACAAAAATTAACATCAAACAATAAGAAAAAGACTACTCAAAAGGAAAATGGGTAATGGAGGAAAATGACATGGCCAACAGACCTATGAAACCATCCTCACGTTCACTACTCATCAGGAAAGTTAAAATAACCATGAGAAATAATATACCATTCTTACATATCAGATTGACAAAAAGCGAAGTGTCTTCCACTCCCAAATGTTGGCGAGGAGATGGAAAAACAAGAACTCCCACTCACTGCTGGTGGAGGGGTCACTGTGAGAGCCGCTGGGTGCTGTGCAGCAGGCTTGAACCTGTGTGTGTCCACGCCACCCTTACAAATCCCTCCGCTCTGTTTAGATCACTGTTTAGATTACTGAGAAAAGGGATTATACAGTAAGAGACTGTTTCTGACGTTCACTGATGCTGTGGAGAGAGCAGAGGCAGCCAAGCCAGGGTTCCTGACGTGGGTCCAGCCATGGGCTCCCAGGGCTCCGTGAACCCCTGAAACAGCAGCGTATGTCATCCATCTATGAGTCTGTGTCTTTCTCCCTGGGGAGGGTCTGCACCCCATGTGCTTAGGATGCACTGTATCAACACCCCGAGGCTGTTTCCTGAGAGCACAGACCTCTGTCAGTCACTGCAAAGACAGAAATAACCTTGGGGCAGATTCAACACCAATTTTAAACAGAGTAAGAAAGGGAAGATCCGTAGACAGGTGCCCAGTGGGAAGCTGCTGCCTTCTCTTAAGCCACTGGTAGGCAGACTCTAGTTTTGGGTCAGTGATATTGTAACTAAAATTGTTACCTATGGCAGACCTTATTTGTTGTTCAATTGGGAATAAATAGCCTAAATGGTGGTTTATTGCTTTCGGCTTCTCAGAGCCCTGGCACCTAAGTCATTTTAGCTATAGAGGAATCCAGATGTGGTTTCTCTACATCAGATACTGTAAAGGCACCATATATTGATTCTTTTCTTATGCAGAGAGCTGAGGAACAAGTTTTCGGGTCTAAATAATGTGTCCAAGATTTCAGACAGAATTCTGGGGCCTCTCCCAAATACTTACTTGTCTGATAGTTGAGCGGATTCAAATGTCTCCTTTGCGAAACGGTGTGGTGCTGGCAACTATAGTGCCTGTCCTGCGCAGAGGTGCTGTTCACTTGGGGTTGAATGCAAATCAGAATTTTTAAATTTCATTGCCTGGGTTCATCTTTTATTAAGTGCACATTATGGTGGCACCTGACAATCTCTTCAGAGAATTCGTTCCTTGATTGCTTGTTAGCCTAAGACAAAAAAAAAAAAAAAAAAAAGGGACTCACTTGTGTAGTATTTAGAAGAGATTGTCCAAGGCACCCATTGGCAATATGTGTCTCTAAGTTCTGTTGATTTATTCCGCTGATAATCAGAGAACAAGGCTTTTGGATGACGTTAGCGCATTTCCCCATAGAAATGCCTCCCATCAGTTGAGGTGTAATAAGTCAGCTTTTACTGAAGCTTCTGGTGAGAATGGGCATTAGAAGACCCCTCCTCTACCCCTCCCCACATCTTCTACAGGACTTGCAGTGAAGATATATGATATGTTACTCAGTTTTAGATTCCTCCTAAAATTTAATCCCAGGAAGATACTTCTTATGAAATTCCTGCACGATTTATTAGGGATTTTGGAAGCAGAGAGGTCCTGTGCTGGTATAAAATTTGGAGCCCGGTGGGTGGCCTAGGGTTTCAATCCTGAATCAACTGAGTGAACTTGGGCAGTTAAGCTATTCTTTCTCAATCCAATGACCTCATCTCAAAAACGGGAAAAATAATTCCTGTGCTGTTGTGGGGATTACGATACTTTGATGGAAAGTACTGGAGGTACTTTCCGAATATACTGGAGGTGCTAAACAAATGGTAGTTGTTATTAGAAAATCCATCGTGCCAGAAAAGTCAAAGCTAGAATTAGTGCTCAAATGAACTGACTGTTTTAATCAAGGTTTCTAGAAAAATGTCCTTTTTTTTTTCTAATGATTTCTAATTGTACTTTTAATTTTTATTACAATGATCCCATTCTATATGTGTTTTAATGTTCTAGGTGGTCTCGACTGTCCTGTGGGAGACAGATGGAGAATAACTAAAGGAGAGCAGCAAATTCCAGTTAACTTGTGCCACTTGTATTTCCTCAGCACCCGCTCCCAGGTTCTAAACCCAGCTTGACCAACTGGCTGGCTGTGTGTCCCTGGACGAGTCGCTGTGGAGGAGAGACTGTTCTATGACGTGACCGCTGCCAGACCCTTGGCTAGATCCGGGCCAGAACACAGATTGCTTCTTATCAATTCCTCAGAGGTGATCAACCCCTCATCTATGCCCCAGGGAGCTGGTTCTTGGAAAGGCCATTGCTCAACCCTAGCAAGCATGTAAGGCATTTTCCCTTACCTGGGGCAGGTCACGTCCCAGTACCCCTATCCATCCTGACCTGTTCCATAGAATTCTTTAGCGCCTGCCATGCAGTGAGGAGGACATCTACTTCATCTTGCCAAGGTGTGCCTTATATGTAAGTAATAAACTTAATAAACTCCTTAATAAACTCCTGACGCCATGATGGAGTGGTCAGCCTCTTGCTTCGGTCTCTGGGCACTGGGGAAATTTTCCCAATGTTGTCATCTGCTGGGAGGCTGCTGTGTAAACCACACAGTAGCATTCTTTGTCTTATTCTGACTCCTGATGGGCGTCCCCCAGTGCAGGAAATAAACGCAGAGTCTGGGGTCTGAGGCTGGCGGTGAGCCTGGCTGCAGAATGCCGTGGTCAGGAGGGCCTGGAATCAGGCTCCTGGCCACAGAGAGAGAGAGAAGCAGCTGCCCACCCCATGCAAGGCTGTAGCAAGGGGGAACCCAGGGTCATATCCCTAACAGAGGCACGTGCCCTGGTCCCCCAACCCGAGGGACTTGGTGATTTGCTTGGGACTCTGTAATGGAAGGGACAGGGTCCTCCTCCATGCCTGTGCACCCTTATCTATGCAGCTATTTCTGGTCTCTCCATCACCCTGACACTGTCCTCCTGCATGCTGTATTTCTCTTTATAAAGTTGTGAGCCCTGACAACCCCACTTGGGAGCATCTAGGATCAGCTGCTCGTCTCAGCTGGAGGCATGAGTGAGAACTTGGAACAGAAGTTTTTGTCCTCGGGTAGTTTCATGCTTTTGTTCTCTTCGCGTCCCTCCTGGCTTTCCTGTGCAGCCGGGCAGCCCGTGCCCTCACAGAGTTCGCTTTGCATGTGGTTGTTAAACTTTGATTCGGTGACTCATGCTGAGGCTCAGGCTTCAAGTCTTCCTCCCTCATTTGATTGCTTTCTTCCTTTCCTTTTTTTTTTAAACCCAAAGCAAAACTACCTTTGCAGCTGAATGTGACGCTAGCATCCAGGAAGTGGAGCTCTGGCATAAAGTGTCTCCTAACTGCCGCGTGGCCCAGCCCAGCTTGGCTCCCGTGGCTTCAGCAATATACCTCCCTAGCTGGGAGGAAAGGGGCAGTGTGACAGCTGCGATCAGCTGGACAAGCTGAGAGGAGCGCCGGGGTCCACTGTAAAGGCCGAGTGACGCGCCCTACTGGTGAGTGCATGTCCCCTGGCCATCAGTCTGTACAAACACTGTGCAGACTTGGGTGGAGGGGTGGGAGGAGAGGAACAGAACATAAGGGGGATGTAGGTTGGAGAGTAGATCTTGGGTGAGTATTATCCTGAGCAAGCTGATTCCCCACACCTTAAAGCATCGTAAGTGCTCAGGTTAAAAAAAGGAGGCAAGCATTTTTTATTTCCTTTAGGTGAAATTCTTGCTCATTTTAGAAAAATTGTCTTTAATTTTAAGATGGCTTTTGTGGGAGAAAGATTAATCAGAGGAAGCTCCTCAGTTTAAGTAAAAATTCCTGCTGTGGTCTTTGAAAGTATTTTAATTTTATGAAACCAAAAGGAGCAGGACTCTCGGGCACATTCTAAACCTGTTTCCATGCTCTTGAAAGCACCTTCTACACTAGCCATCGATGTGTGGATGTCCAGTGTCCTGGTAGACCAGGAATGTTTGGCAGCAGTCCCAAACACTCCGTGGACTCGGTGACTCCATGGGCTTCAAGAAGGCCTATGAGGACACTGAAATGAAACTTAATCTGATGGCAGTGAAGACAATTTTGACCAATCCTCTGAAACCATTAGAAACCTCAGCCATGCTCCCCAAGATTATAAACTCCTCTCCAAAGCCCAGAGATGCCAGCCCTGGGGTGTCAACACCTGACCTGTGCATAGGTTGGGAGTGGAATATAGAAGAGGGTTTTGTTTTTTTTAAACCTTTGCTTCAGAGTTGCCCTGGGCTATGGATCAGGGCTGTAAATACTCATGTGTACACCCAAAGTAACCTGTAGCCCGTACAGAAGACCAGGAGATGAGTTCGAGGAGAAAACAAAAGACCAGGGCAGTCCACCCATGTTCATAGCAGCATTATTCACAACAACCAAAAGGTGGCAGCAACCCAAGAGTCTATCGACAGTGTCCAAACAAAATGTGGTACATACACACAGTGGAATATTATTTAGCCTTAAAATGGAAGGTAATTCTGACACCATGCCACAACATGGGTGAACTTGAAGACATTATGTATGCTGAGTGAAACAAGCCTGTCACAGAAGGACAAATACAGTATGATTCCACTTATAGGAGGTCCCTAGAGTAGTCAAATTATCATAGAAACAGAAGTAGAGGGGTGGTTGTCAGGTGATGAGGGGAGGAGGCTGGGGAGTTAGTGATTAATTGGTACCCAGTTTCCATTTGGGAAAATGAAAAAGATATGGAGATGGGTGGTGGTGATGGCTACCTAATGCCACCGAATTGCACTTCGCAATCTCGTGGGCTGAAGTCGGCGTCTCTGTGCCTTCCCCATAATGTAACTAACTGACAACTCCACTGAGACGCTCTAGGTCTGAGCTGAACCAGAGAACTTGTGCATGGACTCTTCTCATCATGGTGGGTGACCTCTGGCAGCCATATGTGGTAGATTTCTCTGGAGCTGGCAGAGGCAACCTGGGGCAATGTGTTGAATGCACTCACCCTGCTCCATGGCCCCCAAGCATCCCTGGGTAGCACCCTCTGACCTGGGAGAAGGCGGGAATCACCACCCTTGGGAGCCTAGCCTCTCCCATTGATTAGTTGTGGGATCCTGGGTAAGTCAGCAAAACCTCCGTCCATTTTCTCACCTACAACATGAGTGACGAGGTAGTCCTGCCTACCTTCCAGGAATGTTGGAATTTCCAAAGACAATATACAGGGAAACACCGTGTGACTACAAAATACTGTGCACATGTAAGCTACTGGCTCTCCACATGTCTTACCCTTTCATTTTCTCCCTCTTCAGTTTCTCTTTTATTCTTCTCCTCAGGAGTTCTTCCAGTCAGAGATTACAGTCCTGTGGCCTGGGGGGCCCTCAGCCTGGATTGGTTCATTCTAGAGGGAAGAGATCTGATCTGATTCTCACTGTTCCACCAGACGGGTTTCACTTTCCTTCCTCCCTCCTTCTTCCTTCCTTCCATGCTATTTTGTTAGGTCACCTCTAACTTTGAGCTCATCCTGAACATATCACCACAGTTGCCTGGACTGCTAACCGTAGGAAAGTGTTGTGATGCCGGCCATTGTAAGAACTTGTGAGGAAACTTTGAAGATTTTCAAAGTGTTACGAATCATTTGTGCTGTGTGTGACTTCCAGTCAAGATTGAGGAAGAAAACTGAAGTGAAGTTGTTCATACTTTCAGGTCTTAAAAATAGAAAGGAAAAAGAGCTGCTGGCAGTGTTGCTGCTCAAAGACTGTCACATCTGAAGGGGAGGCTTGTGACCTGAAGGCCAGGGAAGGCTCCCGAGAACAACCATCACCCCAGGTTTCTCCCTTATTTAGAAGAGGTTTTAAAAAGGAAATGAAGTTGATTTTAAAGTCTCAAGGAGGGAGGAAGCCTCTGAAGTAGGTGAATTTTTCAGTTAATTAAGTCTTCTCAGAAAAGGAGCTCTGCTGAAGTGCAAGGGTTCTGTGGAGAGCTGCAGAGCAGGGCCTCACGTGGCCACTCGGACTCCCTACCCCAGGTGAAAACCCCCCCTTTTTTTTTTTTTTGAAAATGTCCATGTTTCTGTCGTACCAGAATGCAAAGTTACAAAACTAACACGGACTCTCCTTGTAGCCATTACTTTGTGACCAAAGAGAAGTCACCTGACCCAGTCATATTTTGGTTTTTCCACTTCTGCAATAACAAGATGTTGCCTCTGTCCTGAACACAACTCACGTGATTTTTGGCATGTGCTTGTCTTCAGTCTCTGCCATTTACTAACTGTGTAATATATACTCCGTACCACCCTGAACCTCAGTTTCTTCATCTGTGACAAGGGAATACTGTCATCTATCCTGTCTACCTGCCAGGGACAATAGGAAGTTCAGGTAAGAGTCTCTTCGTGAAAGTGACAAAGAAAGGATGAAGAATGACATGAGCTTTTATGTTCATGTTGCTTATTTCTGTCTTTCTTTTTCCTTCTCTCTGATTTTAGTTCCCTCCCTCTTTTCTTTCTCCCATGCCTCCCTTCTCTCTCTTTCTTCCAAACTAAGTGCACCAGTGCGTGCATTAGCAACGAGGAGAGGAGGCAGGAGAGTAGCTGGGGCTATGTGGATTGGGAGGGGTTCCTACAGGATGTGACAGTGCGGTTAGGCCTGGGGGAGGAGGGGTAGGTGCTCCGGGCAGAAGGAAGAGCCCAAGTGAAGGCCTGTGGGCCTGAGAGACCATGGGTCTTTCAGGGACATGAGCAACTCCTGGTGTGAGGCTGGCCTGCCAGACTGGGTGAGTGTCCCTTCATGGAGACTGGACCAAAGCTGGACCCCAGCCCAAGGGAACAACTGTCCTGAGACAGGACTGGTTACTGGTCAAGGAGAAGAAGGTGAGGCTGGACTAGAGGTACATGACCAATGAGATTAGAAGTGGGCCAGGCCTGATTGTGAAGGGCCTTGACTCTCGTATTGAACAGTTTTGACGTTTACTCTGTACAGGATGGAGGGACACGGAGGAATAGTTATGAAGTCTTTGATCCGTACACTAACTTGATAAGAATTGTTGTTGGTGGGAGGGCAGTGAGGAGGCCTTCCCAGGAGCCCCTAGGAGAGGCGACATGGCTGTTCTCTGAACTGGAAAAGACAGCCTTTCCTTTGTTGTCTAGTTCTGTGAGGACCTTTCTGGTCTCTCCCTTCCCCTCAAAGAAAGATAAGTCATTCCTCACCTGTGTTTTGAAAACACATTTTCCTAGTCAAAAGTAATGTGCTTATCGTCATGATTTATGGCTTGTTATTTATATTTTTTTTGGTCTGTTTTCCTGAATAGGTTGAGGTCCCTGCAGAGTGCCTGGTGCCTAGTTGGTGATCAGTAAGTGTTTGTTACATGACTGACTGTCTGACTGACTGAGGGAATAAATAGACAAACTAGGGCAGTCGTGCTGTGAGTGTAAAGGAGAGGGTGGTTATGGGACATGTCCAGAAAGGAGACCTAATGGCCAATTGGATGTAAATGTGAGGGAAAGAGAAGAGTCAAAGGTGAGTGGGCAGTTTATTCTTTGGGCTTCTATGGGATGCCATTCGATAGGATTCAGAACCCAAGAAAAAAATATTTGAGGATGGAAGATAATTTCAGCTTTGGGCATTTATTAAAGAAAAATTTATTTAACTCCTCGGATATACTAGGCACTATGCCAGGTGCTGGTAATTCTAAGGCAGATAGATCAGAATGCAGTTCACAAGTTCTTGAGAAATAACTAAATGACAATTCAGTGTGTCATAACAGGTGTGAGCAAAGTGCCTGGTAGACAAGATGACCAAGCCACGCATTCTGTCTGTGGCGTGAGGGATCACCACTTTGAGTGGCATCTGAGCTAAATCTTGAAGTTTGCCAAACCAAAGAGCATTCCAGGTAGAGAGGAAGCATATGCAGAAGGACAGTGATGAGAATGTTCTGGAATGCTTGGGGAGCAGTGAGAGATTCAACGTTGCTCTAGAGAAAGAGCCGGGTGGACCAGTGCTGGGGGGTGAGGTGGACAGGAGTCAGTGCTGTATTGTGACAGCTGGGTACCCTGCTCAGGGATTTGGTGTCTTTCTTGTAGTCAACATGGGGTCAGAGGGTGTTTCTAAGCAGGAGGGTGACATGGTCAGACTTGCTCTAGAAATACAATGTTGGCTACAGCGTGGAGCTGGGCCAGATGGGACTGAGGAAGGGGACCTCTTTGGAGGTGTTTGCAATGCACTGTGTATGGGATGAAGAAGGCAGGGCTGAGGCTTGGGTGGAGCAGGTGGGCAGTAGGAGATGGGGGTGAGAAGGGCCAGATCGAGGGAGGAAAAGACACTGGGCCTCTGTCCTGAGGCCCTGGGTGACATGTTATAGGCCACCTACACGGAACCATCTAGGTGGAAATACTTAATTGGAAAGCTCTGGATTTAAGGAAAAACTTTTTAGTTTTGGAAACCCCTTTCACTCTTTTTAAAAAAATTTTTTTTCTTAAAAGATTTTTATTGGGGAATTGGGGGAAGGAGAACAAACAAGTTGCTATCCTTTTGTTCTTCAGTCTAGTTGTGGAGGACGTTGCTTCACTGGCCCAAGTTGGCACCATCATTGTGCTCTTCCCGGGTAAGGCAGATCAGTCGCCGGCTTCTGGACGGCCGCTCACAGAGGCTGCTGGCCGCTCACGCTGGCTGCTGGCCGCTCACGCTGGCTGCTGGCTACACAGTAGCCCATGGCAACCCACTGCAGCAGGGGCTGCAGCCTATGCCATCACCAACAACTCACGGCAGCCCAGCTCCAGGTTGAGCTGTTGTTCAGCATCTTAGCTGTGGAGGGCAGTGTCACTGGCTCTCATATGTGGGATCCGAACCGGGGCCCGCTAAACCGGGGCCCGCTGGCGTCCCAAGCCAGCTCTTAACCATCGTGCCACTCGGCTGGCCCCCCTTTCACTCTTAAAAATATTTAGGACCCCAAAGAGCTTTGGTTTATGTGGGTTATATCTATTGATATGAACCTTATTAGAAAGTAAGAAATTAAAAAATATTCATGTTTTTAAATAATAATAAACCAATTACATTAATATAAATGACATGTTTTTATGAAAAATAATTTCCCCAAACCAAAAATTTGTAAGACTGGCACTGATTTACATTTTTGCAAATCTCCTTAATATCTGGCTTAATAGAAGACAGCTGGAATCTCATATCTGTTTCTGCATTCAAACTGTTGCAATGTCACACAACATGTAGTCTCTGTAATAATTCATGGTACTCTCATGAAAGGATGAAAGTGAAAAAAGGCAAATTACACATTAGCATTATTATGAAAATAGTTTTTACTTTGCAGACTCCATGAAAGGGTCTTGGAACCCCCAAGTTGCTCTGGACCATACTTTGTAAACCACTGAAGTAGACTCAGGAAATGTCTGGGGAATGAAGGTGTTCTGACTTCCCGTAAGACTTTATTCAAATAGCATGTATGGCACTTATCTCACAGATTTATAATTGTGGGTGCCTGGTGCTTAGCAAGGGGTCTGAGCTGGAAGTGGGCCCATCAATAATAGGGGCTGGTAAAGGGGGAGGACCTGGGCAGGGCCTCACTACTGCACAAGAAACCAGAGGCTAAGGAAAGAGCTAGAAAGAGTTAGGAGGAGACTCAGGCCAAGTTGTACAACCTAAGGGAGAAGCGAGTTTCCAGAAGGAGGTCGTCCAAAAAGGTTTTATTTGAAATAACAAGTTAGGGAGCGGACCACAGCGTCAAAAGCAGTGGAGAGGTTGTACAAGGTGAGGAATGCAAAGTTGCTGTTGGGTTTGGCAGTTCGGAGGTCACTGGTGACCTTGGGGGCAGTTTCGGTGTTTCAGCAGTCAGTGGGCCCAGGTGGACTAGGGGGTAACAAGTGGGGGCTGCAGCCGAGGCCTCTCTGTCTAGGAGATTGGCTGAGAGATGCCCTTCACCTGCCAGACCCTGTTATCACAAGTTCTGTTTGGGTTCCAACACTACGGGGAGAGACCCAGCAAGAGAGCGAGAAGCCAAGCCGGGAACTTAGAAGAGAGATGTGAATGTTTCAGGGCATTCCAGAAAGAGACTGGGAACTGAAGGTCAAGGTCCCGTAATACTGAGAAGAGGACGGAGTGAAATGATAGATGTATATGAATGTTTGTTGAGCATGAATCATAACAGGAAAAAATGGAAGACAATTTAAATTTCCATCATTTGGTATGTGGTTAAACATCACTCACTCATTCATTCAATAAATATGCGCTGAGATTCAGCTGTGCCAGGCCCCCTTCTCAATGCTGGGAATACGGTGGGTAGCAGAACAGATAAACAGGCATGGAAAGATTTCCAAAACGTATTTTTAAAAAGAAAAGCAAGGTGCTGAACAATACATACAGTATGACACTATTTATGTAAGAATAACCTCCCTAAAACAAGATGTGTGTCTAGTAGATACACAAGTAAATACATAGAAAAAATGCTGGAAGGATGAAAACAAATCCTGAGCGGGAGAGGCAAGTGGGTTTATGTTATGTATGAAGAGATAGTATGTCTTTTTATTCTTTACACTTCTGCATTGTTTCAAATTTTCACAGTAAATATATTTTCATGATTATTTCTGTATTTTACAGTGTTTTTTTTTAAATATGTAGGGCTTTGTGAGTAGAAAAGAGGGACCAGTCTGTCCAGAGTATTCTATTGGTTTAATCATCTTCTTTTTGTAAACATCTGCCTGCAGCCCCCGCCCCAGAGCTGGAGGCCAGGCAGTCAAGCTCTGGTGGAAAGGATGGGTTAGAACCTTCTATTTTAGAGGTTCAGGATGGTCTGAATTGATTGTCAGGGAAAACCGACCCAGTGCACAGAGCTGAATTTGGGTTGGAGCATTGCATTCCTGGGAATAGAATTTATGGGGGGCATTTTCCCCTGTTTAAGCCGAGGAGCTGTATTAGTTTACCAGGGCTGCCATAACAAAATACCAGCCCTCGATACTTATTATTATTATTATTGTTATTATTATTATTGTTATTATTATTGCCCTCACAGTTCTGGGGGCTAGCAATCAGAGAGATAAGGATGTCAGCAGGGTTCTTTCTTCTGAGGCCTCTCTCCTTAGCTTGTAGCCAGCTATCTTCTCCCTGTGTCTTCACCTGGTCTTTCCTTGGTACCCATCTGTGTCCAAACCTCCTCTTCTTAAAAGGACACCAGTTATATTGGAACAGGACCCACCCTAATGACTCCTTTTTAACTTAATTACCTCTTTAAAGTCCCTGTCTCCAAATACAGGTAGTACATTCTGAGGTTCTGGGGGTTAGGGCTTCAAAATATGAAGTTGGGAGGGGGCACACTTCAGCCCATAACAGAGCCTAAGAAACATTTCTTTGGCCTGTGCACAAATGTCCCGGGGTGCTGGGTGGCCTGCTCAGCTGCCCTCGGTGCCTCTGGCTTGTGAATCCCGCAGGGGCGCATGTGTGGGGTGACGGCCTCTGATAGCGCACTGGTAAAAGCAGTGTGATTGCATCTGTGGCTCTCCAACCACACTGAGCAACTGAAAATCCCCGAGAGGACCAGGCCTCGACTTGATTTCCTGACAGCTAAGGCAGGCAGGGAGGGAGCAAAGATAATTTGCCTTCAGTAACCTGACAGCCAGGCTACTCAGAAAACACCTGACGGATGCTTTTTCTCTTTAGCTTATGCCAGTGGGGCTCTGCCAGAAGGAAGCCGGGGGCAGGACCTCTGCCAGGGGCCCAGGTGTCCCAGCATGGAGCACTCAGCCAAGATGGAGTTTTTCCTGAAGCTAGGCTACGACCGGGAGGACGTGGTCAGGGTGCTGGGCAAGCTGGGCGAGGGCGCCCTGGTCAACGACGTGCTGCAGGAGCTGATCCAGACGGGGAGTCGCCCCGGGGCCCGCCAGAGCAATGCCGGGCCCCTGCTGGTTCCCAGGGGCTCCTGCGGGAGCCCGGACACCGCCCAGCGCGGGCTCGGGGCTGACCCAGAAGAGGAGTGCGGAGATCCAGCCGGTTCCTTGAGACCCATTGTGATCGACGGCAGCAACGTGGCAATGAGGTAGCTTTCTTCATTCTGTAGCAAAGGGGTGGGAGAGCTGTCCCTCTTCTCAGTGGCGTGGTCCAAACAGCTTGGGGCCAATGGATGGGCCTTTGAATCCCTGTTCCATCCCTAGTATCTGTGTGGCCTAAAGCAAGTCACTTAACCTCTCTGATCATCACTTTTCCCATCTGTAATGTTGGTGTAAAATCTCAACAGTACCTGACACACAGCAAAGGTTCAACATGTGGTAACTATTATCACATGAACCCAGAGAGAAGCCTTCTTCTGGGAAGGCTGTGGACCATTGGGGAGGAGCTGCTTCTTGTCTGGGGTCTGTCCCTAACCAGCTGTGTGACTCTGAGAAAGCAGTAGTATCTCAAGTTTCCTGTTCTGTTACACAGGTGGACAGGCAGCTCTTCTGCTTCCCTCAAGGTTGTATCAGATGGGAAAATGCATTTGAACTTCATTGGAAGCCCTCCACTGGGGGTTATGGGAAGGCAGCCTGTGGTTCCCTCGCTAGGTTTGAGAGGTGAACTTGTGCCTCCACTCCAGCTGCAGACGCTGTAGTTAACATCTGTGTATTGCCATCGTCCTGTGTTTTGGTGATGACAGCGTCATGCCCTGCCTTGTTCTCTTTCCTGGTGAGGTTAAGTTCAGCTGTGAGGGAATCTCTGCAGTCTCCCCCACATTCCCCGCCAGGCGAGGAGGCAGCTTTGCCCAAGTGCATTATTCTACTACTTGGCTTAGTTACAGCGGGGCAAAGGGCAGAGCCATAGGAAATCCGTCACTCACAGCTGCGAATAGATGTGCTTCCCTTTTCAGACGCTGGGCCGTGGGTGAGAATGGAGAAAAGTGGTGTTAGCAGCAGCACCGAATGTGTCCATGGGGCATCCTTTGGCTGACAGGCCCAGTGGTTTTTCCCTGGGGATTTGGGCTCACGTAGCATTTGGCACGGCGGGACCCAAGTTTGAAATGGTTCAACCCCAGATGGCCCAGCGTCAGGGGCTGTTCCTACATGCCCCCTCGGGGTGTACTGGGAGTGTGCAGCCAAGCTTTAGCCAGCTGGGGATCTCTGGGCTTGATTAGATGGGCAGATAATGGAACTCTCCCTTCTCCAGGGCTTAGAAGCTGGTCCTCTGGGGCCTCCATAACATTCTCACACATGTTCCCAGTCAACCTATGAAATCCTGCTTAATTCAAGATCTCTGGGGACAGTTAAGGGATTTTTAAGAAGCTGGTAGGTTCTGAGCGTCCTAGCAACAAAGTCTGAGGGGTTGTAAGAAGGGGCCTGACCTCTGTCTGATAGGGACGAGGCACTACTCCCTCTGGGCATCAATAGAAAGAGGACTTTGACAGTAAGATGATATCGCTTAAATGGATTTTGTGAGCTCTGCGATTCCAGATCAAAGTTACAGAATGGCTGTAGGATAAAAAGACTACTTCTGGTGCTGCAGGAAAGTATAGGCATTCTGTTTTGGGGGACAAGACAGTTTTTTAGGAATTGTTATGATAGGGTGGTCATGGAGGGTTTTCTTTTGATGGAAACCTCTCTTGTTGCTGCTTGGAATTCAAATTTAAACCACATTCTCTATTTGCATATGACCATGATGTGTCCTGGGTACATCCATTTAGTCCCACCCTCCTACCCCCCACAATTGTAATCAGTTTCATCCCTTCATGCTCAATCTGTGTGAGTTACAAACAGAAATCATCACTCAGGCTATTATTAAAAATGTGCTGGAACATGAATGCTTTCACACACTTGCTGCCTGAAAAATCACCTCAATTAACCAGAACACATGCATTTGTGTGTGTTCTCGGTGTGTGTACATACATGTATGGAAAACTAGTTAGGAAAAATAGATAAATTGCACAACCACCACCTGACAGGCAAGTCTAAGAGAGAGGTGGGGTCTGAGTTTCAGCTCCATCCCCTGCTCCTTCTGCTACAATAACGCCTACGGTGTCCTCCAACCAGAGTTTCAACAGGACCATGTTCCTTAGGCTCAGGCGGGTCCTCAGTCGTGAAGGATGGAGCCAAGTGTGGGGTTCACCCTTCAGAGGAAATGGATGGCTGAAACCCAACATGGTGTCTAGTTATTATCGGTTGATCTCAAAACTCAGTTAACCTCAGAAACATGGTTTCTGAAAATGCTCCTTTGCTGAGATTTGGTAGTATCGCAGACTTGCCATTCTCTGTTTTTGAGAATGGTACTGTTTCATGTGCTGCCTGGTCCTGAAGGAGTGGGGAGCAGAGGAAAAGATGGATGGGGACACATGTCCTTTCGCCTTGAGCTGATGGGAAGGGTGCCCCCTGTTGGCAGCAGCACCCTGGTGGGGGCCTGTTGTTGACTTGCTGCCTGTGGCTCTGTGCCCTAGAGCCTGGGGCAGCTTTTGCCTTTGCTCCCAGGGAACTACAGCCTGACTTTTCAGTGAGTTTGTGTTCTCATTGTGTTTGGGAAGCCGTGTTGTAGATGTTCCTTAGAGAACGAAATCTGCAGTACTTTCCTATTGCCGCGTTCACAAATGACCACAAACATGGTGGCTTGAAACAATACATACTCATATTTAATGTCTTATATAGTTCTGGAGGTCAGAAGTCCAGCATGTTGTCTCCTTGGGCCAAAATGAAGAACGGTGTTCTTTCTGGAAGCTCTAGGCGATAACATGTTTTCTTGCCTTTTCCAGCTTCTAGAGAGGCTGCCTGCATTCCCCGGCTCATGGCCCCTTTTATCTTCCAAGCCAGCAATGGCCTGAAATGATATACAAAAATGTGGAAATGTATGCACATATATATATTTCTCCAGGAGAAGATCCATAGCTTTCAATAAGCACTTAAAGGGTCTGCAGTTCCCCAAATGTAAAGAGCCCCTGATGTAGAATGAGAAATTATAGATAATGGCATGCTTTATGGAAAGCACTAAGCCATGCGTCCTCCATTGGCACCGAGAATGTTAGAGAGGAGCATCTGACCCTCTCAGTTAAGAGAGGAAGAAGAAGCACAGGAAAAAAACTAGGTGGGCTTGGCCAAGGTCAACACTGGCTCCATCAGACCCTGGCCTCCATCCCTGTGCTGCACCCATGCCACCCTATACAGAATTTTCCATGGGCCTCTCTCCCTAGTGCTTCAGTATGTGTAGCCCAAGGCTGTTAGTAGTGGCTGAGCCCAATAGGCTGGGATGACTGCTGTCTGGAGCTTGGCAGCGTGGGTCACTGGCCGAGTGCTTTTTGAAAGAAGTGGGAATGTATTTGTTCGAAGCACACAAGGGTTGGCCTGTTTTATGAAACACATTTTGTTCTCAAGTCATTTAAATAGAAACCATACCACCAAACTAAAAAAAACCTTTCATCTCCTCATGGCAAAAACAGAAGGAGTCCATTTGGCTCTTATAAGTAGGACTGATGGCTTCATTTATCATTTCATGAGGGGTGGGTCAACTTCAGTGAGAATTCTAAGTTGCAATGTGGGGAGTGCATAAGCTGGGGACCTGGGAAGCCAGACTTTATGCTTGCTCCATAGTTTTGATGAGTATCTTGTTGTATTTCATGTAGGAAACCAGGGAGGTCAGAAGCAGGGGATGGAATGTGGGACTTAGAGTCCAAAGCTCTGAGTTCTTGCCTTTAGCTTGGGGCTCCCCAATGAAATGCCCTGTAATGATGGAAACTCCTATACCTGCACTTTCCATTACGATGCCACTGGCAGGATGCAGCCACCAAGCCCTCGAAATGTGCAACCGAAGGACTGAGTTTTAAATTTTATTTCTTTTGAATTAATTTGAATTCAAGTGCAAATAGACATCTGTGATGAGTAGCTACATATTGGATTATGCAGCTGTAGCTTTTCAGTGAATCACCTTGGAGTGAATCACCAGATTTTTTTTTGAGCCCGGTTTATATGATTAAGAGGTTGGACTAAGTAATAATACTCTTAAATGGTTTTTCATTTCTAACATTCTAGGATTCAGGATGATTATTTTATGCATGGCTTAAAAGAACTGAAGGCATTTTTTAAATAAAGGAATTTCTCATCTTCTGCAGAGGTTCAGAGAGAGTAAGAAACTTGCCCAAGGACACAGAGCACTAAGTGTCAGGCTCTGGATTAAGTGCTCTTTCCAAAGCTCTGCATCTCCTCCAGCACTGCGCACCTCTGGCTTTCCCTGTCCAGCCTTGGGAAGGGTCTCAGGGTGGGAGACCCTGATCCCATAGGCTTTTTTTTTTTTTAAGATTTTATTGGGGAATTGGGGGAGGGGAACAGCGTTGGGGAATCAGGGAAGGGGAACAGACAAGTTGCTGCCCTTTTGTTCTTCAGTCTAGTTGTGGAGGACGTTGCTTCACTGGCCCAAGTTGGTATTGTGATCATTGCGCTCTTCCTGGGTGAGGCAATCGCTCTCCGGCCATTGGACGGCCAAACACGGTGGCTCACAGCAGCTCACGAAAGCTCACGCCAGCTGCCGGCCACTCACAGCAGCCCACTGCAGCCCCACTGCAGTCTACACTGTCGCCGGCAACTCATGGTAGCCCAGCTCCAGGTCGAGCTGTTGTTCACTATCTTAGCTGTAGAGGGCGCAGCGTCCCTGGCCCAAATGTGGGATCCGAACCAGGGCCCTGCTGCTCAGAGGTGGTGTCCCAAGCAACTCCTAACCAATACGCCACTTGGCTGGCTCCCCATAGGCTTTTATCTTGGGGCCAGAGCCTACCCATAGTGAGTCCCGGACGTGGCCTTGCTGCAGACAGAACGTGCTAGGTCCCCACTCCCTCACCAGGGGCCCGGGCTCCCTCTGCAGGACTGCTGCCAACCTGCTGGGAACCCTCGGTGTCACAGGTGCATTGTACGGTGGCTCTGATTGGCGAGCAACACAGAGACTGATGTCCAAGTACAATCCCCACACCTTCAAGGTGTGTGTGTGTGTGTGTGTGTGTGTGTGTGTGTGTGTGTGTGTGTCTACATGAACGAGGGAGATGTGAGCTGAATACCTGAATCGCTATTCATCTGGCCTTTAGAAAAATGTCCAGCAGGT